CAGAGCCAAGTTTGTAGCATAAAGGCAGAAGGCAGCACGGTGATGCGCACACAGCTGTCAAAGGTGGGGACCTTCATCTCTCGTTATGCCAAAGGGTGCCATTCTGTGAACATTTAGAGCTGCACTACAGAAGTTTTTATGAGCACGCGCGTGAGAACAATGGTGATTTCAGCATTGACTGCAAACCAGAATGAGAACAAACATCAGTTCTGCAACAAACTCGGTGAAACAAAGACCTTTGAAGTGATGCGGCAGGCTTACGGTAAAAAAGCAGCGAGGTGTTTTGAGTGGCACTTTGGGTTCAAGAATGGCAGGACGTCGCTAGAAGACTGAGAAAGGTCGGTGAAGGGTCTCCCACCTTCACTGCTTGATTGGTCCCATTAGCTCTTTGCATCCCCTGTGTCAGGATTTAAGCTGAAACAGACAGAAGGCCATAAAAAAATGCAGGCGGAAAAAAAAAAAAAAAAAAAACTACCTTTTTAAGAAAAGCTTGCCCAAGCTGAACGAAATTTCGAAATGTCTCCTATTTCATAATTTATTTTGTGCCATAAACAAACAATAAAAATACAAAAAAACATTGCATCGTTTGGAAGGCAATGACACATGCTGTAAGTGGTATCAGTTGAACTTCATTGAAAGAAATTTTGCCGAGGACACCGGACTAAAAAAGCTCCCGTAGGAAGCTTGACTAGGCCGATGTCCCTGCACATACAGAAGACAATACAATGATAAAATAAAACAACACTATTCATCTAAACGGAATGAGCGTGCACTGTCTTTTAGTTACCATAGAATATCGTGCAGCCCGTTCCACCGCCCACCCCCAAACTTTGAAACATCTGAAAAAATATGCGCTGTGCATATATTGTCAAATTGATGGCCTCACATGTGCCCATCTCCTATTTTTTTGCTATTATTTTCAAATCTTGAATGGGTGCTTGCTCGGTATTTTACAATAAGCACGGATGCAATACCCATAAAGCTAAATTTAGAAGAAAAAAAAAATCTGGATGCTTAGTGCATAATTGTTAGTGAAGGTATTCTGGGCATTTTTACAAAATTTTATTGTAGTAGAAATAAATGTTTTTCTAGGCAACACAAAGAAATGTATGGCTCCAGCTTGATTCAGAAAGGGCACTGGCAACAGTCATCAAAAACCTACTGTTCTCTCCCGCTCCTTTGAAATTCTACATCTTTAAAACTAAACACAAATGAACGTTGAAACAAAAATCATTGTCGTGTGTGTGGTATGCTCCATCGCATATAAAAATTTTACGGAAAATAAAAATTGGAACTACCCCACTGCCTGAATTCAAGTGAAACTGCCCAGTTATATTTTAGTGATGCTTTTTTTTTACCTTGTAAGGTTCCAAGGTGCAGCTTCCTTAGAAAAATAAAGCAAACTTGTCGGGGTCAATGGCAGACATTGACACAGATGACCAAGTTAGAGATGGTTGTACTTGTGGTGCCATCTTCAGATAATCTCAACGAGCAAATGATGCAGTCAAAAGCAGACAACCTGGTCGTCTACTCTCTGCGCCTCTCTGGAGATGGCGCCATAAGAACAGCTACCGCTCGACGTGTAGTGTGCACACCTCCTAAGCTGTGATGCTGCTGTTATAGAAAAAAAGAAATTGCATACAAGTCAGACAGGCAAGTAAACACCAGAAAATATATAAAGTTACCCGTAATAGTTGTATATAGCTTACTAAGAAGTTTATTAGTTGCACATGTTACGGTACGTAATGACAACCTGGTGCATTGTTCTGACCTTGTAGTCTCTAAAATCTTGGGGAACAGTTCTACAAAACGGCTGATTTTAATGAAGGATCCCAATTATAGACTTTTCCCCAAACTTCAACGCTTTTTCATCTGCCACCTCTGCAGAATCGAGGTAATACTGCCCCATGTAAGTGAGCAGATTTAAACGTGGACAATATCATGGTAAATTGACAAAGGTTTATTGAGCGATTTTAGATAAGATGAACCTTTTTAATTTGATTAATAATTTTATATGTTCTTTCCCAGTGCACAGGATAAAAAAAATCATAATTAGTTTCGCCCACAAAAAAAAAATTATCAGGCGCAAAAAAAATCATAGATGACGTAGAGCTGGATGTAGCATTTACGTGTGCAGCTGGAGTGGTCACATTTGGTGATAAACAACAAGTTATACTTCCTGAGCGAGTTTCATAATTTTTGGATGCAATCTATGTGTACTTAGCTATGCGAAGAAGTTATTCTTATTGTTTATATTATAAAAATAATTTATAAGGAAATATAAGTTTCGGCTACTTGATCGTCCCCCCCCCCCCTCCCAACTTCACAGACCTGTATCTTAATAATTAATTCATAAATGTGATATTTTGATACAATATTCTAGTCATAAGTGGAAGTAAATTGACACAGAAATCAAATTTAATTATGAAAGGGTTCTTAAATTATTGATGCCAGTGATGTGATTGCTGCGCCATTTGAGCCAAACTGCGCCAATGTGCTTACTTTGCTACATCCTGCTACATTTTACCAAAATGTGAGGAATTTCCACCAACGTTGTGCCAAAACTTAATTTCACTTTAATACTGAAAATATAAAAGCTCGGGCCTCGCTGCCCGGCCGGACCGTTACGATATGCTTATGAGAGTTCTCAGAATTTTTGACTACTGTCTCGGATAACATACTATTCGATCGCATTTCGTGTGAAAGGCTGACAGTACCCGGAAGTTTCACAATAATTCTCATGTTCGTCTTCAGTTTTGCTGGAGGATTAGTCTCGTTGAGTGCGTTTTTCCTCGCGCACTGGTGTACTGCAGAGAAGCGAAAACCGCAAAGTAAGCATCGTGATTTTGCTTGTCTTGCTTCGCCACAGCGCACCCCCGTGCTACGGGGAAAGCTCTCCTCCAGAGCGAGACGCGTCACAATTCCTGAATAAACTTGGGTTGTATATGTATGTGATAGACTACGATATCCTGATAGACTACGATATCCAGAGCGAGATGCGTCACAATTCCTGAATAAACTTGGGTTTTATACGTATCTGATAGACTACGATATCCTGATAGACTACGATATCCTGGCAGTACCTTTTTCCAAATCGAGATTTAGCAAGGACACTTTGGTATTGCAAGGAAATTTATATGCGCTCCTTCGTATGTTTATTTATTTATGCAAACTCATCTGTTTAGCTGCGACTTTTATATAGATCTGAGTAAATTAGAACCAAGTTGGCAGGAGCAGTGGATGGAAGCTCGGGAAGAATGTTTGCATGCCGTTTTTGTTATAAAGTTCTACACATAAAAGGTAATTGACGTTCATAATCCAATGACAAGTGCTTTTATATCTGAATTAAGAATTGCTGTTTTATTACAACCTTTAGAACTTGAAGGAAACATTAATTTATGGGCTCTATATTATTTATTATTTCACAGGCATTCAGTACTTAGAATAACCATTCACAGCAGTTCGTACTGTCCTTCATCACTCAGCCTTTCTGGTGCTTCTCCACGCAACTAAACGCTAGTTTTGTGTTTGAGGGACTCCCTCCTGCTGTGCAATTGATGCAAACTAAGGGTCGCACGTCAGTGAGAAGGCAATGTAGACATTGCATTTAAGTGGGACACGCCGACACATTAATCTTAACATAATGTCTGCATTAGTATGCATAAGAATGATGCTACAAAAGTTATTTTTGCTGCTCCAAGAGCTGCTCCGAAATGATTCGGACCAATCACGTCACTGGACGCGCAAACACAAGAAAAGCATGAAACAAAAAAAAAGCTCCTGATAACAATTAAAAAAAAAAATTCTTGATTTTTTGAAAATTGTTTCATCATTATATTTTATTTGAGTGTAATATCCATTAAAAAATGTTGCAACATATTGATGGTCTAATACAGTGGTTCTCAACCATTGATGTTTCGCGGACCCCTTGTAGATAGGCGGAGATAATGGAGGACCCCGTTTGGGGCGAGGGGAGTAGAAGGGTATACATTAATCATGATAATGATTTTATAAATGAATATAGCTATTTTCTAGTGCGAAGTAGACTTACCTCAATGACATACTCATGAGAGAACTTGCTCAAAAATTGAAACGTTTCTTCTCAATGTGAAAAAAGACAACTTATATTGCCGGGCTTGACTCATGAGACAGGGGATCGCGGACCCCATTTGAGAACCACTGGTGTAATAGATGCAAGCTCCTCTACTGAGCCCCTTTTTCGAAGGGGGAAAACTTATCAACTAGCCAAAATTGTTTTATCATAAAAAAAAAAAAAAAAATAACAATTTTATTTTTTTTTATTATGAAGCATCCAGACTGCGTCCAAAAATGATAAAACTCGCTCAGAAAGTACAGCTCCGCTATTTATCGCCAAAGGCGACCACTCTGGCTGCGCACATAAATGCGACTTTTCACCTGTTCGTAAACAACAATTTTTTGTGTCCGAGAATTTTTTTTTGGTGGGTGAAAATATTTATGATTTTGTTTATTCCAGGGACTGAAAAATGACATAAAATTCTGAAGCAATTTGAAACTATCAACCAGCTGCACTCTGTTCGATCTTACCTGAATTCACCCTATTGCAGCAAGTATTGTACACCGAAATGGAAGTATAAATTGTAAATCTAAGTTATTCTAAGTTTTCCAAGTTATTTCGTTTGTAGCAAGCTTGGTGCAATTGTGTAACTATATATCACCCTCTCCTGTAATGACTTTCAAGAAAAAGCCAACAGTATTGATAAATATATATAAAAAATATATATTTGCAGCCACAGGGGCCTTCCTTTGTTGCAAGCAAAGACCTCGCAATTAGTTTGTGGTCCTTTGTGCTGTCCCTAATTATTTGGTACTGCACAGATTGTAGCTAAAGCAATATTTTACACATTTAAAAAATAAGTGACGCACGGTTTTTTTTTATCAAGGGACCCACAAGCAGGGGAAATAATTTCAGATTTTATGCAACTCATAACATACACAATGGCTTTTTTTTTTCTTTTCAGATAGTTCACATCTTTACCAAGTAACCAAGTGCCTTCCAGTACAAGTCATGGATTCAACACATTAATAACCAAGAATGTATGCATTTTAAACTGAAACTGAAGTATCTGCAAATAAAAGCAGTGTTTTGCATTTTTCCAATCTGCACCCTCTCTATGCAGGAAAAAGTTTTCCCCAAGGTGCTTTGTTGAGAAAAAAATATTAGTTTCCTGGCCTAGATGTTGATTATAGGTGTTGAAAAGCCTATGCAGCAAAGTGATCGTCCAAGAGGCAAAATCCGTTTGTGTGCCCAAAGAACAGAAAAAGAGAGGTTGAAGAAGAAATCCGAGCAAATGAAAACAAGTTGAATTAGGTTGGAAAAAGAAATGACCCAAAATATTTCTAAAGCATGTTTTGAACTTAAGAGAGCCTAGGAAAAAAGATACACTGCACAAGCACTCACCGTAAAATACCAGGGGAGTGCCTACCACAGTTTCACTGAAAACTGGGTTAATCTAAACTTAGCTGCTTGTCCGGCCAAATCAAGCACTGAAAGGGGCCCTGCGATCATATTTAAGCGTTTACCTTTTTTGCGGTTTCCATGCCTCTTGAGGTTCGGGCAAGCCAGCGGACACGGAGAGAGTAACTAAATATCAGTGCGTCATATTTTAACCGGACGACGCGGAAACCTCCTTCACCTATGGGGGCGACCCGCGGTGCCGAAAGCACGCGAAATGCGACGTCCTTGCTCCTGGGCTTACTACTGGTCAGAGCCACTAAAAGCTTATTTTTTAGTCGAAATAGAAAATACAAGTGGTGTGAACCGTTTCTATTATTTATAAAAGTAGTTTTTGTTCACTATTTTAAGATCAGAAAAGAAACAAATGCAGTTTAGAAAGTACGGAAACAAGAAATGATCCGTCGGCATACCCGCCACCAAGAGGTGGAAAAGGCGGCGCATACTAGAAAGGTGTAGTGGTATCGGGCACCAGCGAGCGGCGAGTGAAGAAAAGTCCCGGATGTATGCGGCAGCTATGCGGTCAAATGGCCTGGAGGATCTGACCGGTTACGAGCGTTCCAAAGGCCTTCGGCAAGCAGCTTTGGCTTGCGGTATGGCAGCGCGAAGTGGCTCCCGTTCTGAACTGATCTTTACCCCGTGTTTGCTGTCGTTTGTGGCCAATGAAGTGTCATGCCAAATTAGTGTTTCATCGCGCAGCAAATGCAATGCGAGCCACCCTGGCTGCCCGTTTCATACCCTTACAGCCTATCCAGAATATGCTTTAGTGGCGCCCTCTCGAGCCGTTGACACGGAGTGCGGCAGCCGTGAGCGCTCGCCGAGCTCACTACCCCTCCTCTAGTTCACGGCCACTCAAGCGACCAAGGACGTCATGAAGGAGGTTATTTTTTGCTTGTTTTTGTAATTTTAATTTGCATCTAAATTTTAAAATAAAGCGAATTTCGAGAAAGGAAAAGTTTCATTATGTTACTACGTTCAGTGCGCTCGGGTTCGGTGCAAATTAAAAACCAGTAAAAAAAGTCCTTAAATGTTAATAGTGGGCTCTTCCATATTTTACGGTAAGACATTGCATTGCTTTGTTAGAACACGGGTTAGTGCAGTTTTCTGCTGTCTCGTGGTAGTGCTGCAATGCTATCCTGTTTTTAGTTTATTCCTCACCTTTTGCATCTGCTGTAAAAGAAATTTAGATTTCTGATTAAAAATTAAAACAGCACAAGGACACGAACAAGAAGGTAGACGAACAAGGCACTGACTTGCAACTAAAGTTTATTCGTGCTAACATCAAGTGTAAATACTGTAACGTTATAACAAACAAACGTTGCAGTATTTATACTTGATGTTAGCATGAATAAACTTTAGTTGTAAGTCAGCACCTTGTTCGTCTACCTTCTTGTCCGTGTCCTTGCACTGTTTTAATTTTTAATCATGGAAATACTAACTAGCCCAAACTTCTACGTTAAATTTCTGCTTTAAATTTTTCTGAACACTACCATTGAGAAGAGGAGCATCCTTCCTTGCAGGCTCCCTGGATGATATACATGTTTTTGTTACGAAGATTGGGCTCATTTAGGAGACACTGTAAGGCAAGGTTTTTGGAACATGGAAGATAAAGACCATGGCACTCTTATAAACTAATAACCTAGATTCCCATAAAAAACCAGGGAGTCGAACTGGTTTTTATTTTGGTTTGGTTCAGTTGTTTTGCATTTGTTCTGGTTCAGCTCTGGATTGGAATATGTTTGGTTACCGGTTTCAACAAGCATGAAGCGGATCAAACTGGTTCGTAGCCCTACCTTAGACTGCGGCCGCCCGTGCATTTTCTCTGCTAAAAAAAAAAGGAAAGATCACAGCTGCCACTGGTTAAAAAAAAAAAAAAGTGGATTCGACTCGGCGTCATCTGCATTAAAAATGCCATAAAAAAGTAGTCAACAAAACCCGTGCCACAGAAAGGAGAGCAAAACTAATAGACCAACACGCGGCCCTGACGTCGCACAGCTGCGGTGGCGCTGTCAACGGCACTGCGCATGCGCAGACGCTTCACTTCGCGCGAATTTGGTTTCTGCGCACGCGCAGTGCCCACACCTTGTGTGGGCAAACGCAGGCTTGTTTGTAAACAGCGTGTCGGTCTATAGATATGCTTAATTTCGTTGTTTGATCTTTACTTTTTATCGTTAACACCATTGTATGTAAATTACGTGGTCATACAAGTGCTCGAAAACGGGTTTACTACAGTTGATTGAATGTCATTTCATCGAAGCACGTTTTAGAGAATGGGCACGTTTCATCGAAGCACGGTTTAGAGAAAGCAGTGCCTCAGTTTAGAGAAATGCCGTTTATCGCAAAGGGGACGCTTTTTAAAAAAAGGCTTTCCTACTTTTCGCGTGTATCACTGGTGCGTGTGTTAATCCATGCCCCCCGCTGCGCTCCCGCCGCTTTGTGGCGGCTCATTACAAAAATGTGAACTCGCCTGATTTACCCGTACACGCCGCTTTGTGGTGGCCGAATTCGCTAAAAGGAGGCTCATTGCCATTTTCTCTAAACTGGATTCTCTATAAGGCATTTGATAAACCGGGGTCGGTAAAACGGCGTTCGCTAAAACAAGCTTCTCTAAACCGCATGCCTCCGCTCGAAAACAGTACCAAGGTACTGTACTTGCATGCCAAATAAACCGGCCAGCACCCACAACACCGCAATGAGTAGTTAATACGGCGGGAGTCTGCCAGAATATGGCAACATTGTTACCCACTTTAGATGAGATATTCAGCCATTGCATTACAATCGCTAGCCTGGAGTCTTTAACATGCCTCACGCAGTAGTGATAGATGGGTCCATCACGGTAGATTGAATGCCATTTCATCGACACACATTTTAGAGAATGGCAAAACTGTCCGTTTATCGAAACTGGCCGTTTATTGAAAAAGGGACACCATTTAAGAAATAGACTCCCCTACTTGTGCATGTATCACTGGGGCGTGTCTTAACCCCCCAACCTCGCACCCGCAACCCCCCCCCCCCTTTCCCCCTCCCCCCTCCAGTTAAGGAACTTTGCCGGCTAAAGTCTGCGGCGGCTCGTTACACAAATGTTAACCCACCTGGTCCACTCGTACACGCCACTTCACAGCGGCAGAGTTCACTAAAAGGAGGCTCATTGCCATTTTCTCTAAACTGGGTTTCTCTACAATGGGATTCTATAAATGGGTCTCTAAAATAAGCTTCTATAAAATGGATGCCTCCGGCGTTACATGATCACATACCAGTACGATGCTCATCCATATTGAAATTTGCAGGGGTGGGGATTGAAGCCAGGATCACTGCCCAAGTAGGACGGATTTTGGCCAAGCAATGGCCAATGTCTGGCGATGGTCTTTTCGCCAGTGGCCAGAGAGTGGCCATTCATTGGCCAATGCTTGGCCAATGGCTGATGGCCAGTGGCCATTAGCCAATGGCCATATAAAGGCCAGTTACCGGCCAGTCTCTGCCCACTTGGCCAAGGACCATTGCCAGCCATTGGCCGATGACTGGCCAACTCTGTGCTGCTTGGGTGGGTTCTGTAGTGCAAGCTTTTGCTACACATGCTTTGAGCTGCAGTACATTATACTTGGGGACAACTTTTTTGGGCAATGAAGCCAAAGCTATGGGTACCCGTGCACTTGTGCACATTGAGTGCCGATCACAGCTGTGCTCGCATGGTCTTCACTTCTTTGGAAATGCCAGAAAAAGTTGTCCTCGAGTATAGCACACTCGGCCACCGACCCCTCCTACTAGCACACGCTCTGCTCGCAAACTACCTGCCTCAAATGACAGAGTTGAAGACGAGAAAACGGCAAAGGACAGTGGAAAGAGAATGCAAACAAAAAAGAAAATAGAATGATCACCATGCCACAATTGAAAAACAAAACTAAACAAAAAAATATTTTCCTTGGGCAGTGTTTCGAGCTCCAGGCGATTAGCATCATAGCGACAGGCGCCCCAGTGTCTCGATCCTCGTCACTTGGTTTCTCCAATGGCGGCTCCCAGCTTTTGCCACTGCAGAAAAAACTAACACACACAGACAGCCTTCGATTTCTTTTCATGTTTGCTTTTTGTTTTTTTAAGTATTAATGGTGAAAAAAAAAAGATGAGCTTCTTAGACGGACCGTGGCGGATGCTACGAGCCATTGCAGCCAATCGAGCGCCGTGAACGTTTCACATGACTACACAACCTGCACATAGCTGCGCCTCTGCCAAATGTCGTGCAACACTCGCACTGCATTAGATTGACTCCCATGACTCATAGTGTTTGCTGCAATCCATCGTAAGGGGGCACGGGCATCACGCTATCTGTGTTGGCCCACTGGGGCATCCTCGCACTCTCGCCCACCTCTCCTAGCCCCGGCTTTTGCTGTCGCTGCAAGCACCATGAAAGTCACAGTCTTGGAATGTCTGGCGACAGCATCTTGCCGCTCCACCACCCTGGCCCAGATTCTGAACCCGCAGCACTGTCATTTCCAACCAGGAACACACACACCTATCCGGCCCAGCATGGCGCCGGACCACGGCTTACCAAGCCTCGGTCCCATATATCCACCGAGCCAACCTGGGCCAATTCGTTTGAGAATACCACACCCTTTCTCCTCTACCACTTTCGTACTGATGCTTTTGGGCGAGAGTGACGGTCATCTCAGCCACGTATAAATAAACACATTTTCAATCGGTTTTTTGGTGTCCCAGCCTGGATCCACAATTTTAAGATAATTCAGGTGGCGTTCAAAAAGCTATTTGGAGCCTGGCAATTTATTTTCAGCTTGTATGTACGTAGATGGGCACATGACTGAGGCGATGCATCATGCGCCACTGAAGTGTTGGCAACTATGGTCGGACAGGATGAGAACGGTAGAGAGGGGTTCCAGTTGTCCTGTCTCCGGCGCAAGCTTCGTACCTTCCACAACGCTTCAACATCTTGCAAGCCAAAGCACTACAAAAGGCAATGAGCGCTTGCTCGGTGCTTGCGCTTTCGAAAAAGACATCCTGCTGTTCTCATATCGTCGGCGACTTCACTATTCAACGGCTGCTACGAGCAAAACGAAGCATTTGGAATAGAAATGTAGATTAGCTGCAATTGTTGTGAAAGGACCATGTGAAGGAATGTTGGTGCTCCACTTCTTGCGCAGTACGAGGATTTAAGAAATTGCATCAGCTTCAAGCTCCCACAAGTCTCCTGCAGATTTTTCAAACGGCAAACAAAGTATGTCGGCATCATCCAAGCATGTGACACACATGGAAAGTGACATACCACATCATGTTTACCCCAAGACAATACTGCAAGTATCAACGACCAGTATTGCTTTTTTTTTTCATTTAGTTATACCTTGATATAATGAAGTCACACAAAGGTTTTTTACAGGGTGTTGAACCGAAAATCTGAGCAAAACCGTTACTTTTGACCGAACCAGAACAAAACCGGAACCAAAATCGAACATGTGATATTGAACCTGAACCGGAACAAAAAATGTAATTTGGCGGTTACCAGTTCGTTGGAAAACTGTTTGGCGTAATAAAAAGTGAGCCACGCATATATTTGCAGGTGACGGTGCAAAGTCAATAGCATATTTGCAGCAGTGGCGTCAGCAGTGCAGTGTTGACAACAAGCGAGAGTGGCATGAAGAAAGCGCAATAACACTGAAGCAAATAAATAAATTTCACATCTGTGTGCAGCACAACTTGGCGTCTGTACGGTGGTGTACATATCGCGCCGATAATTCGGATTTGTTCAATATTTCGGATCTATAGGAAAGACAGTGACCTACCCCGATAGAAATAGTGCATATTCATGACCGATGTTTCGGACAGCTTAAAGTCCGAAAGTTTGATTTCTAATGTGAAAGCATTAACTGTCCCACGGAGCGAACAGACGTCATCAGCTTTAAAGCCGCGCCGAACGGCACCTGAACTCTCCTGTCCCCATGGAGTGAAATGAAGCTGCGGTCTGATGGATAGGCTCCCGTTGGCTGGCGTGTGTCATCAAGGAACGAGGCTCCCATTGGCTCTTGTGCAGCGTAGTTCCAAGGGATGCCGCCAGAGAAGCCCTCTCCATGGTGGCACAGCGCATGCAGCGGCCCGGCCGCCGGTAAGAAGTGCAGCGGTGCGGGACTGGGCAACAGCCCGCTCGGGCAAACTCTGGAGAGGCTGCATGGCTGAGCTCAGTGCGGCGTGGCCACTTCACGAGACCGCACGCGTTCAGCCGTTGGCCGCAACCTCCGCAGTAGCGAAACATGGCCATCCACGCCACTATGCCGCAAACGAACTAAGGGAGCAGAAGAACGACCTTCATGCTTTCGCATTCACAGCTCGTAAGAAGAGCTTAGGTGTCCTTGCACTTTTTCTGACAAAATCGTTGCAAGCGATCAGCGGGAAACACCACCGAGAAGCTGCCATTTTAGATTCTATGTGGACTGCACATGGGTTGGCTTGGTTTGGCAGTGCTACTTGAGTAGTGCTATCTTACTGCTAGCTGACGCTATATGGCTTTTTTTTTTTTAGCTGTGTGTCATTATCATCATCATTGTTACAATTTTGCTCTGTTCATTCGCCATTGCAGTCGAAGGCTTGCGCCTCTCTGCCTCTTGTCTCGTCTTGGTATATCGTGTTTGCAGAAAACAATGATTTGGACGTCATGGCCCCATCTGTTCTTCTGCTGCCGCAAAGTGTCGCTAAGAAGTGCGGAAAGTACTCGACCATAACGCTAGAAAAGAAGGCAGCGATTCTCAAGCTAATAGAAAGTGGCCAAATGCAAACGGAGGCATAACCTGAAGCAAGGCAATGGCTTTTTTAAGCCCACTTGGAAGTAATAAAGGCAAGTTTTTTATCTGCCAATTTTTCGGACTGCTCTATTATTCGGACGTTTTTGTGGCCCCCCGCGAAGTCCGAAAAATCCGGACACTGTAGTCACATTGGCAGTCTGGTGCCGTTATGTTCAGTTTCTTCTGCAGATACAAAGAGTAACATTAATCAATATGTATAGTTTATTTGCCACTACTGAAAACATTCTAATCCTACGTCGCGTCATCACAATAGCATGGGCCACAGGTGGAATCGGGCACCTGGCTACCAGTTTTAGGTGGAGTGAGCAGATGGCGTCCGGTCAAGAGGATCTCGGGGGCCCTGGGGTTCTTGGGATGAGCGTCCCCCTGGATCGGGCTTGAGCCCCTGCAGCGCATACAGCTCTGTCAACATCAGCAGCACCGTGTCTTCAGATTCCCTGCGCAATGGAACAGTTCGTCCAGCTTAGGACCGATCGGAAGAAATTTCCATGTCCGTTTCGCTTCAAGTGTGAGCGGAGCAGAAGCTACAAGAGCTAGCTCCGGGCTTTCAGCGTTCCTCCCGAGCACACGCACTAGGGCACTGCACTGTTTAGGGCAACATGCTCGTCCTTGTGGCTTCGCTCGCACATAAAATTAAACGAACTACAAAAAAAAGATCAATATTGCCCAATTTTTTAACTTTTTGGGGGAAAAATATTGTCTCAAGATTTGGACACTACCTGGGAATGTCAACTTTTGAACCGCTCACTCAATCGGCGTGACATTTGCAGGTGGTGTTTGTAGCCACAAAGAAGGAGGGCATGCAACGTTTCAGCCCTGTGAACCAATCTTATGGGGTACTATAACCCCAGAACGAAGTAAAGCAGAGCTTTGCATGGAATCTGCTCAATGAATCTATCGTTAAGAAATGGTGTTGATAACCACATATTTTTCTGGTGGCATGCATGCTGGAATACCTGTTGCCAGTTACTAGGAAAAGAAAATTTAAAAAATATGAAATTTTCAAATTAAAAAAAATATATATACCTTTTTTTTTAACAATTACCAAGTTTTCAAATTAAAAATTTTTCATAATAAAGGCACATGAAATTGCAAAATATAAGTTCATAGTAACTGGCTCCATAAAATTTCAATATAAAAGCCGCAAATATGAAGTCTCCCAATAGTTTCATACTAAAATGATAGTTTTATTAAAGTGAAATATATGCTCAAAAGTGGAATGGAGAAAAACGCGTTCAAAGCGCTTGAACCTCTACCTTTTCTTTAGCATCGCTGGACTGAAAATAATTTATAAAAAAATAACTATGCAGTATAAACAAATGAATCTTTCCGGGAATACTCACTAGATGTTGGTGGACATAAATGAGGCATTTTAATGCGAAAGTATTAAAGGAGCTGTGCAACAATGTCAGTGCTTTGCTTAAATTCTTTCTTTATTCAGAGATTACCCCGCAGTGCCCGAGGGCGTTACAGCAGGGGGGTTACTATGCTGAAAAAAAGACATCTTCATTTTCACTGCACACTTGCAGCTCCGACAGCCCATTCCACTCTCGTGGAATGGGCTGTCGGGTGGTGACCAATAAACAAGAAATGAACAGGAAGAAATAAACGTTTAATGTGGCGAACTTGTGCCAAAACAAAAGGAGAATAGAAAATAATAACAAAGCGTCGCGAGCGTCGAGGTCGACGAGACAGCAGAGTCGAGCGCTGGGGCGAAACTGACTCGACAAGGTCGCGGGCGGCCTCTTATCTAGAGTGAGTCACTGTCTCGAAGATTCGGCGGAGAAGGTTCGAGCGTAGCGCGCTCGGGGCGAGAATGAACAAGAACTTTCTAGAACAACAAAAACAAGGATGAACGATAGTTATGGCCGCAGCAAGAATGAACGAGAACTTTCTACAAGTCCGTGACCCTGCGCGCGGCATTATCCCCCCCCTTTAAAAAGTGCATCGTCCCGATGCAGCACAAAACGAAGAACAACAAACAAAAACAAATCCAAAACAAAAAGGCAGCAGAATCGCGAGTCGCAGTTCACAGTTCACAGTTCACCCGTCGACGAGAGTGGGAAGTTCTATCGTTCGTAATACGGCTTCAGCCGGACGACGTGCACCACCTCGGGTCGTGGCGGGCGTCTTGCAGATGGGCGCGTTCCGTCGGGTAAAACTTCGTAGTTCAGGTCGCCGAGGCGTCGGATGATTTTGTAGGGTCCGAAGTAGCGTTTGAGAAGCTTCTCGCTGAGACCACGGCGACGAATGGGAGTCCAGACCCAAACCGTGTCTCCGGGCTGGAAGTGGACGTCCCGACGGCGAAGGTTGTAGCGGCCAGTGTCGACGCGTTGTTGGGCTTTAATCCGGAGTCTGGCGAGCTGACGGACTTCTTCTGCCCTTTGGGCAACCACCTGGGCGTCGTCGCTTACGTCGACAGCCGGTTCATGGGGCAACATAGCGTCCAGCATTGTCGTTACCCTGCGCCCATGCACCAGTTGAAAGGGTGTCACTCCGGTGGTCTCTTGTACGGCCGTGTTGTAGGCAAAGGTGACGTACGGCAGCACCTCGTCCCATGTCTTGTGCTCCACGTCGACGTACATGGAAATCATGTCGGCGATGGTCTTGTTGAGTCTTTCCGTGAGCCCGTTGGTCTGCGGGTGGTACGCCGTGGTGCGACGATGGCTGGTGTGGCTGAGACGCAGGATTTCTTGGGTCAGCTGTGCCATGAACGATGACCCTCGGTCTGTGATCAGGACTTCGGGGGCGCCATGCCGGAGGACGATGGACTCGATGAAAAACTTGGCGACTTCCACAGCAGTCCCTGAAGGGAGGGCTTTCGTTTCGGCGTACCGCGTGAGATAATCTGTGGCGACGATTATCCAGCGGTTTCCCGATGTTGACGGCGGAAAGGGGCCAAGTAGGTCCATTCCGATCTGCTGGAACGGTGCGGTCGGAGGAACAATCGGCTGCAGGAGACCGGCCGGTTTCGTTGGCGGTTTCTTACGTCGCTGGCACTCGTGGCACGATCGGGTGTAGAGGTGGACGGCTTTGGGGAGCTTTGGCCAGTAATACTTTTCACGAATACGGGCCAGTGTTCGGCTGTAACCGAGGTGTCCCGACGTCGGGTCGTCGTGACATGCTTGAAAGATCTCCTCCCGAAGGTCGGTCGGGATTACCAGCAACCACGGTGTGCTGTTGTCGCCGAAGTTCTCTTTGTAGAGTACACCTTGTCGAATGGCGAAGGTCGGCAGTACTCGTGAGAAAACACGTGGCACTGTACCCCCACCCCCTTCCAGGTACTCGATTAATGCGCGCAGCTCAGGATCGTCCCGTTGACGTCGTGCCATGTCGTCGGCGTTTACAGCTCCTAGGAAGCTCTCGTCGTCATTGTCGTCGCTGCAGCCGGAAGGGGTTTCGACGGGGGCTCTGGACAAGCAGTCGGCGTCGCTGTGTTTCCGGCCGGACTTGTAGACCACTGTCATGTTAAACTCTTGTAGTCGGAGGCTCCATCGAGCAAGACGTCCTGACGGGTCCTTCAGGTTAGCAAGCCAGCAGAGCGAATGGTGGTCCGTGACTACACGGAACGGGCTCCCGTACAAGTACGGGCGGAACTTCGTGATTGCCCAGACGACCGCAAGGCATTCTTTTTCAGTCGTGGAGTAATTTCGCTCCGCCTTGGACAATGTCCGACTTGCGTAGGCGATGACTCGCTCGGTGCCTTCTTGAACTTGAACCAGTACCGCGCCAAGTCCTGCGTTACTTGCGTCCGTGTGAATCTCGGTTTCCGCATCCTGGTCGAAATGTCCAAGAACAGGAGGCGTCTGCAGTCGTCGCTTCAGCTCGTCGAGTGCCTGCTGCTGCTCCTCGGCCCATTCGAACTTCTCGGCGTCCTTCGTGAGGTTTGTGAGCGGTGCGGAAATCCTTGCGAAATCTCGAACGAAGCGCCGATAGTAGGCACATAGCCCAAGGAACCTTCGCACGGCCTTCTTGTCTCTTGGCACTGGAAATGCTGCGACCGCGCGAGTTTTCTCTGGGTCTGGACGAATGCCTTCGTTACTAACCACGTGACCTAAGAACTTCAGTTCGTCATAGGCGAACCGGCACTTTGACGGCTTGAGAGTGAGCCCGGCGGTCTGTATGGCATGGAGAACCGTGCGGAGTCGTCGCAAGTGCTCGTCGAAATCAGCTGAAAATACTACGACGTCGTCCAGGTAGACGAGACAGCTCTGCCACTTCAGCCCTGCCAGTACGGTGTCCATGACACGCTGGAAAGTTGCTGGTGCCGTGCATAGTCCGAAGGGCATCACCTTGAACTCGTACAGTCCATCCGGCGTGACGAAGGCTGTCTTCTCTCGGTCCCGTTCGTCGACCTCGATTTGCCAGTAGCCGCTCTTCAGGTCCATCGATGAAAAGTATCGAGAGTGGCGCAGCCGGTCTAGAGTGTCGTCGATGCGGGGCAGTGGGTAGACGTCTTTCTTCGTAACGGTGTTGAGCTGCCGGTAGTCCACGCAGAACCGAAGAGTTCCGTCCTTCTTCTTAACCAGCACGACTGGAGAGGCCCATGGACTGCTTGAAGGTTGGATTATGTCGTCATTCAGCATCTCTTGAACTTGCTGCTGGATCACCTCCCTTTCCTTAGCGGAGACTCTGTACGGTGATCGATGCACAGGGCGCGCGTCGTCCTCGGTAACGATGCGGTGCTTGGCAACCGCGGTCTGGCGCACCTTCGACGACGTCGCAAAGCAGTCGCGGTATTCGGCGAGGAGGTTAACCAGCTGACGTCGTTTAGGGTCCGGAAGCTTAGGGTCAATGTCGAGCTGCGCTGGCGACGTACTGTCTTGCTGGGACGGCGAGAATTCGTCAGTAATCGCGGTGATTTCGGCGGGGTTTCGGAGTTCCTCGACGTGGCCCACGGCTGCACCTTTCGTGAGGTGTTGCGTTTCGTTTCGGAAGTTCGTCACGAGGGCCACAGTCCGCCCATCCTGAAGTTCAGCTACTCCCCTTGCGACGCCTATGCCTCTTCCCAGGAGCAATTGGAGGTTTCCCTCGAGAAGAACTTCGCCATAGGAAGCTTCATCGATCCCGACAAGTACGAAAACACTCGACCGCGGTGGTAGGTTTACGTGGTTTGCGAGGACTCGGACCGTGGGTGACGTCGCTTGGGGTTCCTCCGATGGTGGAGCAGGTTTTCGTAGCGTCAGCCGGTTTGTTCCGAGGTCGATGACGGCGCCATACTCGCAGAGAAAGTCCATTCCGAGGATAACGTCCCTCGAACAGTCTTGCAGAATGACGAACCTGACAGGGCACGTTTCACCGTGGATCTCGACGCGAGCAGTGCATCTCCCGACTGGTGTGATGAGATGTCCTCCGGCGGTTCGTATTTGGGGTCCTTCCCACGGCGTCATGACTTTTCGAAGGCGGCGGGAGAGCCTCCCACTCAAGACTGAGTAGT